TGGTAGGGGTGAGACATGGAAATTTTGTAGGCAAATCTCATCCTAGTACAATACTTGGCAGCTTAAACATTCACCCATTGTTTTAAAAATTATATTTTCTGCTGAATTTTTGCCAGATGCTTCCCAAATTTTGCTGATAAGAATATAAAAAGCACATGGCTATGCAATAATCAAGTGCAGATTAGATTACATTTATTCCACAACCACAACAAACAACTTTAAACTTAGAATTCTGTTTATGTATCTAGACCGTTTAATAAAATTCCAGATCTTTCCCTGACCATCAGTTTGTAATGATTATCATTTTAAGAATATATTATTCCAACTACAGGCCCGGTGCATGAAATTTGTGCATGGGTCGGGTCCCTAAGTCTGGCCAGGTATCAGGGCCAATCGGGGCCTTCTGGTTGCCAGCCAGGGGATTCCTTCCCCAGCAGTTGGAGCCCTTCTTCATTCCGTGATGCCCCCTGGTGGTCAGCTCACATCATAGTGAGCAATCAAACTCTTGGTTTCTCAGTTGAACTCCCGAGGAGCCATTTTACATATTAGCCTTTTATGTATATAGACTAGAGGCCCGGAGCATGAAATTTATGCATGGGTAGGGTCCCTAGGCCTGGCTGGCAATCAGGGGTGATCTGTGAGGCAACTGGCAGGGCAATTAGGGCCCCTACTCGCACCCGCCTTGGCCTGATGCCACTCACTCATGGCCCTGCCTCCTCGCCACTACCGCTGATTGCTGTCTGTGGGGCCACTGGTGAGGCCGCTGGCATTCACTTTGGTCTGTCACTGCCTGCTCACCTGCTCCACCATCCTGTTGCAGTCCCGCTCTCGTGGAGCCCATTGGGGCCAGCAGTGCTTCCATCGCTGCCCGCTGTCAGCAGTGCATCGCCGATGCCCGCCATGTTCTGCACCACCCCTCGTGGTCAGCACATATATAACTTCCGGTCTGTCAAACTCCTGCCCATGGGGGCAATTTGCATATTGGCCTTTTATTATATAGGATTATAGGGAGGGGGGAGGGGATTTGGAAGATGAGAGCTTGATTTTTGAACTAAGATTAGATGCCTGAAAGTTATCAGTTTATTTACCAGGATCAAGAGGATTTGTATAAGGGAAGGGGAAGGTCAGGAGGAGAAATGAGATGGAGAGTTAGTGAGGGGATGTCACAGTGCAAAGAAATGAGAGAGAATTGTGAGAATGTTCATTCTCATCAATTAAAGGGAAGAGGAGTTTCCAAAATTTAGGTTTTAAGCATTGTATTGGGAGTGGAACCCTTTGAGTTAGGCTAAGAGCATACGTGGATAGAATCAGGCCAAATGAGAAAGTTGAATATGAGGAATAATTGCAGAATTAAGAGAAAAATGACTTTTAGGATCTTAAATACATGGCTCAGTGTGTCCTTGTGGTTAAGAGAATGGTCCCTGAAATAAAGCTGCCTGGGTTCAAATCCTAGCTCTGCCAGCTGTGTGGGGTGTCCATGCGTCACACCTGGAAACAGTGATGGTGCTAAAACTGGTTTGACTCAGTGGATAGAGCATCGGCCTGCAGACTGAAAGGTCGCAGGTTCCATTCCGGTCAAGGGCATGTACCTTAGTTGCGGGCACATCCCCAGTAGGGATGTGCAAGAGGCAGCTGATCAATGATTCTCTCTCGTTGATGTTTCTAACTCTCTATCCCTCTCTCTCCCTCTCTGTAAAAAATCAATAAAATATATTTTAAAAAAGAAAAAAACAGTGATAGTGATGATTGATATGCTATTCCACAGGAAAACGTGGCCCACACCATGTCAATCAAAATAGAGTAATTTGGTACCATTTTCAAATTTGTGATCATGGCCAAGTTGACAGGATAGAGTAGAACACTGGGTAAACTGTCTGTGGGACTATTTTTAATAGAATTAAACCAGAAAGGTTAGGTGGTAGAGAACACAAATTAGTAATCTAATTAAATCACCTTGGAAAGGGACAGGCCATGTTAACAGCAGTCAAATTTGTTATTACAGAGCAATTATGCGAGGGAAATATTGAAAGATGCCACGTGTGTCCTTGCCAGATCTTACACAGTTCATTTTACACCAGCAGAGAAGTGTAAGCTAACCAGTTTGGTAAGCTAAAAGCTCCTTTATTAACATGTTTTCATTCATATAAAGGGAGCAACACTGTTGAGAATTAAAAAAAAAAATTGCTGGCGCACTGAACGACGTTCATTTATGAACTCACTTGCCCTAGTCACTCTCACTGGGGCTGGCCCCGGGGCCACGTGTCCTAATTTGTGAGGTTAGAAAACAGTTTCTGGTTTGGACATTTTGTCCATCTCCTTAAATCACTCTCACATGGAATGATTTCCATGTGCTACCAGATGCTTATTTGGTCACATTTCATACTCAAAGGATGTAAATCTTTTATAAAATATCAGGATGCTCACAGGATTCGTGAACAGTTGATTGGTTGTTGTTGTTTTTTTCTTTTTCCCCCTCTTGATTTCTGGCCTTCACAAAGATAGGAAACTTTCCTAGGCTCCTAACTATCGTGCTCTTCCAACTGGACACATCCCAAACCCCTCAGACTTTTGCACCAGGCCCCCTGGGGGTCATTCCGAGTGAGTCAGGCTCACACTCGGAGCCTGAGGACAGAGGGCAACCTCAACCCCCTGTGCCCAGCCGCCTGATGTGTAAACTAAAGATTCATCAGAGCCTCCTGATTTGATTGTGGCGAATTCGCGTCTGTTTTTATATGAAATAGCTATCACAGTACCCAGCAGAGATACACGCAGTCACTAAGTTGTCATGGCTTTATTTTTATTTTGATGTGTCTTTAAGGAGAACAGTCATTTAGTCTAGCTCACTGAAGTACACAGATATCTATTTGAACAAGTCTCTTTAATGCATGATCAGTGTGTGGTGTGTGTAAAGCAGTAAGGGTTCCTTGACTATTTTTTGCTAGAAAAGAGGAGAAAATGGTTTTGCACATATATTCACATATGTGACAGGAGTTAGTATCTTTTTGGTAGTCATCTGAGTAAGGGTATAGGGCATAGATTAGGATTTTGAATAAAAGCATCCTAAGACAGATGAATATCAAGATGAGAATTTCATAAAATATCCCAGAGCCTGGGACTCGAAAGTCAAAGCTCTTTCAATTGTTTTCCAAAAACAGACACTACTTCCTGTCACATGTGTGGAAGCTAATTGTTACAGGAGCATGGAGGAGATGACATGCTTTGGGTTTTGAAGGAAGAATAAGAGTGTAACATGAGAAAACAAAAGGATATTAAAAAATACAAGGAACAACATTGCTCAAGGCATCAAGATAGAGAGAGAGAAAGAGGGGGGGGGAGAGGGAGGGAGGGGGAGATTGTGAGGAAGAAGGTGGCTTCTTGAGAGACATATGGGTTGGGCATCAATACTGTGATCTGTTCGGCAGTTATTGCTGGATTTATATATAAGCAAAGACTGAGGATAAATTCTTCCTTTTCAGACAAATATAAGAGACAGTTACAAGAAAACATAATATTTTTTGTGGGGATGGGAAGCTACCAAGTGTTTATACTGATTGTATTATTTTTAAGTAGATTGCCACCAAAGGCCAAAGATTTTATATAAGAGGAAAAACAATTAGCAGATGCAATAATAGTGCCTTGGTGTGCACTTCTATTTTCAAGGTTAATTATTTGTTTAATTAAAGCCTTCAGAATCAACCAGAGATGCTATTGCTAGATAACCATGACTGTCTTTGTCAGTGTAAGAACTTTGTGGCCACTTTTTAAACGTTTGTCCATAAGATTTGGCCTTTTTCACTTGGAAGACCATATCATGTTTGTATTATTTTCTTTTGCAATTGCTGATTATAGCTGCATTTTACAAATGAGGGGATTGAGTGGTATACAAGGGTCTCATATCTGGAAAGTGGCTGAGCCAGGATTTGTGCTCATGCAATTCTGTATTCTTAAAAAAAAAATAGCTCTCAAGATATTATGAGAGATTTGATTGGAATTTGAGGCGGGGAGGTTGCTCTGGAAACTACTGAAATTGCCAGGAATGAAAGGTGACAGGGACCAGAGAAACACATGAGACAGGGGACATTGTCAAATGGAACCAAGAACATGTGATGACTCAGTAGGGAGAAAGAAGGAGGTATTGATGTTGATTTCTAAGGCCTAGTTGTTGTTTTCTATATTCCCCTACAATAAGGAATGCAAAGGAAGCATGGGATTGGATGGAAAGCATGATTTGTGTTTGGGGTGAGTTGAGTAAACCAGGCTTCTGTTGTGGAGCACAAATAAAAGAGCAGAGTCTCTTGCTGCCTTTATCGATGGCTTGGACATACTCTTCAGGGTTCCTTAAGTGACTGTTTTCAGCTTTGGTCTCACAGCAGCTACCCTACAGTATAATGAGGGGGTGTTTTTTTGTTACTGTTGTTTTTTGCTGCTTTGACACTGAAGTAAAAGCTCATAACTTATGTCATGTTATGGCCACGATCATGTAGGGTTGGCCAGAGACCTGAGAGGCAAAAAATCACAACGAGCCTTTCCTGCTTCTATATTTGAACTACATCTGGTGTTCACTGTGCACTGCCCATCATCGAAAATTAGATCTAGCCCTAGCTAGTTTGGCTCAGTGGATAGAGCATCAGCCTGTGAACTGAAGGGTCCCAGGTTTGATTCCGGTCAAGGGCATGTACCTTGGTTGCGGGTGCATTCCCAGTAGGGGGTGTGCAGGAAGCAGCTGATCAATGTTTCTCTCTCATTGATGTTTCTAACTATTTCTCTCTCTTCCTCTCTGTAAGAAATCAATAAAGTATATATAAAATAAAATAAAAAATTTGATCTAAGGGCACCCCTGTCTGACTCATCTTGCTAACCACTGCTCACTAGGATGTAAGATGTTCCTAAGACTCCCAGGAGCCCCACCACACACTTCTGTCATTGAAAACCAAACGGGGTTCTTGTGATATTGGCTGTGACTGCAGAGCTGACCACCTTTCCCTCGGATGTCCCTGCAGAATCTGCCTCTTTGGGAGCCAGGGCCTGTGAGGATGACCTGTCGGAGCAGCCGCTGAGAGTTACCCCAGGTAATTGGCCTGTTCCTCTCACAACATGTCTGTCTGTCCTACCGTTGTTATTCTCGTCATTTATGTAATGCATGGATCTCTGGAGCTGCTCCAATTAGATTTGATCAGATCCCTTATAGAAATAAGTTAATAGCAAAAGCAAATATATCTGTATATTTGGATGCCTATGTAAAGTGACGTTTTAAAGATGGAGTAACATCCGCTGGATAATTTCTCACATCCGCGTTTGTACACGATGAAGTTTCACCGAAGTGGTCCGGACGTTTTATACAGAGGATAAGCCAGAAAGCCAGGTATTGTTTTTACACAATTAAAAAAACCTGGTTGGTGGGGTTATTTTTGGCAGTCAGTGGGTTGATTGGATTTTGTGTAGCCATGTCAACACATTTACTGTTCCCTGTGCCTTGTGTGTATATGTGTATGTTAAAAAAAAAATGGCAGCCAGTCCTTGTTAGCTGCATTATATTCAGATAATTTAAGAGGAAACGCACCCATGTTGCTACAACACACCTCATTTATTTCTGCTATATAAACATGATCCCAGTTCCCAGATTTATACAATTGAAATAATAATGTGTTATATAGAACAAAAAAATGATTATAAAAAGTCCTTTGCATTCATAATGGGGTATTGAAATACTTGACAAAACACACACACACACACACACACACACACACACACACCAAAAAAAAAAAAAGTTTTGCAAGTGAAAACAATCCTGCAATATAAAGTCTGGATTTCTATCAAAAATTATTCAGTTTACCTTCACCTATGCATCTCTCATAAAAACCTTTTTATTACATATGTTATTTTCTCTCCTAGAAAATTAGAGAGCATACTTAAGGTAAAATAGCACAAGCCCAATTTGCCTTCCTCACTTCAAATCAACAAAAAGATTTCATGAATGATCTGATTGTAAATAATAGGGCAAAATCAAGACTATGACCAAAATTGTCAAACTAAAAAGATACCGCTCCCTGTCGACATATTTATGGTCTTTGTTTACAAAATCTCCATCTTTACTCAGTCTCTCAGAGAAACTTTCTATGTAGATGTTCCCACACCTTCTGTGTATTTCCATGGAGATGTTCTACAGGGAAGTCAAATAGAACAAATTCCAAATTGAACTTCTCTTTTCTGCCAAACCATTTCTTCTCCTTTTTTTCTTCATCTCAACTGATGACATCATACCATAGACCTAGTTACCCCTGGTAAGAAAACCAGGAGTCATCAACTTCGCTCAAAATATCAGTGCCAGTGACTGCTGGGCATGAGTCTTGAATAAGATTTTTGAACAATATGGCTACGCAAATACAATAGATAAGGTATTTGCAGACTGTAGTAAATGAGAGCAAGGAAGTCAGGGAGGTGCAGCGTTGGAGCAAGGTTGTCAGGTGTGGTCCCCAGGAGGAGGGTGTGATGACATGTGCTGAGCAGACACCTTCGTGGCCCCTGGGTTTCACAGCATGGAAGCTGCTGGTGGCTTTGAGAAGAACACGTGGTGTGAAGTCAGACAGGAGAGTTGGAAAATGAATTGACTTTTAGTAAAAAGAGAAAATGTAAGGACACCCAAACCAATCCAAACAAATACTCCATTTCAAGTTCTATTGAAGGGGAATAGAAGAGGGATATAGCATCTGGATGTTTCCTTTTCTTCTTCAATTTTGCATCCTAAATTCAGTTTAGTGTTTTCAACAAATCTGTGTTGCCTGCCTGCTGTATTCCAGGCACTGTTCCAGGTGCTCTGGCACAAGGAGCAATAAGATAATCACTATTTTCAGTAAATGTGCAGCTCTTAGGGAAAATAGGCATAGTACATGGGTAATCTCCAAATACTATGGTAAGCTGTTTGACAACCATGTACAGAAAAAAGAAAAAAAAGAAAAAGAAAATCTTATTCAGAAACATTAATCCCAATTCAAGATTTAGGTAAGACTTTTTGGATAAAGAAATAATTAATAAAAATAACCAGCCAGTGTTTTGAAACCCTTAGTCTGTGTTAGGCTAAGTGCTGACTGATTTCTATATATTATCTTACAACAAACCAATGAGGTAGGCGTTATTAATTCCATTTTTACAGATGATGAAACTGGAATTTCCCAAGCTGGGCTTGAAGAAAAAAGTGGATATACAGTGGAAAGAAGTTGTCCTAGACAAGACAGGGAAATAGAATGATATCTACAGGAAGGCAACATGAATAGCAGTCACGTGGTTCATGAGATGTGGTGCTTGGATTAGGAGCATCATCTTCACCTGGAAACATAGAGATGTAAATTCCCAGGCTTCCCTCTGAACCGACTGAATTATAAATTCCAGGGGTGGAGCACACAGTCTGATTTCTAACAAGTCGAACAGGTGACTCTGATGATGCAATTGAAAAGTTTTTCTTTATTTTAGAGAAAAAGGAAGGGAGAGGGAGAGAAAGAGAAATATTGATGTGATGTGAGAAACATCAGTTGGTTGCCTCCTGCATAGGCCGGGGACTAAACCTACAACCTGGGCTTATGCCCAGACCAGAAATCGAACCTGTGACCTTTTGGTGCACAGGACAATGCTCAGCCAGCTGAGCCACAACCAAAGGGTGGGTGGTGGTGGTGGTTGTTTTAAGTGTTAAGTGCTAGGTAGGAAGTGGGAAAATAATGAGACTGAAGTGATGGACAAGGACCAGGTATCTCGGAGGTATTCTTTGCATGCCCAGAAGATTGAACTTTTTCTTGTAGTGAGTCACTAAAAGATTTTAGTAGATTTAAGTCGCTCATACAGAGGTTTATTTGGAGTTGGTAGTGGGACCGGACAGGGAGAGAGTGTGCAGGTGTCCAGGGAAGAATTCTTACAGGCCAGGTGCTTGGAAGAGATGCTCTGTATATAAAACTGAAGGTATTTAAGCTGCTTATTGTCCTCTTCTTCATCTTTATATCATTACTTCATGGACTAAAAAGTGTGCAACACTTTCCTTAGAGCAGTGGTCTCCAACCTTTCAGACCTCATGGACCACCAATTGGTGACCGCTACCTTAGGACTCAGAGAGAGAGGGTTCCAAAGCCCACTATGGGAGAAAGCCACGGGAGCCAAGTGCGGTTGGCTGGCGCCTAGGTCAGCAGTGTATCACTGAAGAAGACACACTTCAAAAGGTGTACTATGATTTTATAGACTAAATTAATAGAAGTTTTCTAATTTTCATCATTCAAATGAAAATACTCTAAGCTAGTCGTTCAAAGCATTTCTTTTAAATATAGTTTATGTGTATATACAAGATAACTTCGATAAGATCATCATTCTTATCCATAATTAAAATGCCAGGGGAAACTAACTGTACTGAACTTCTATAAGACTACAGTATTATTTCAGAACCTTTTAGAAACAAAAATGTATTACTATTGGTCTGAAAACTTGGAAGTTCTAATGGACTCCAGCGTTCATTTTAAGCTTACCTACATTCATATCTTGATGTTTAATATATAAATACACATTGTGTTTTTTATATTACATGAAGCAAAAGAATAGAGATATATATGCTATGAAAGCAACAGTATTATGAAATGTGGTGATTACATGCACTACATTAGTGAAGAAACTTATTGGTGAAAATAACAGCTGCATTAGCATTATTGGGAATTTTGTGTAAGTTAGTATCTTTACTTTGGAATTTCACGTCCTTGAATTTATGTCATTCCCCTCAGTTCTATAGCATCCCATTAGCACATTTGTTTTAAAAAATGTATATTTTATTGATTTTTTACAGAGAGGAAGGGAGAGGGAATAGTTAGAAACATTGATGAGAGAGAAACATCAATCAGCTGCCTCCTGCACACCCCCCACTGGGGATGTGCCTGCACCCAAGGTACATGCCCTTGACCGGAATCGAACCTGGGACCCTTCAGTCCGCAGTCTGACACTCTACCACTGAGCCAAACCAGTTTTGACCCATTAGCACATTTAACGTCACATAGGACTTTTTGTTTGCTGGTTCGTTTCCTACAATGCATCTTACACTTGCTGGCATTTTGTGTGGAGGAAACTGGTGCTTGAGACTCAGAACACTGCCACTCCTCCTGCAGCCCCAGCTCCAAGCTCCCGCTTTCCTGGGGAGAGAGCGGTTTGTCCACATGAATCCTCCCAGCTCTGAAGTCTCTTTGTAAAGTGAATGTCCACTGACTTCCACAGGCTCTAAGACCCAAAGCGAACCTTTTTTTTTTTTTTCCAGACGCGTATGAAACTTTATGGCTGTGGATATAAGTTACCCTTTGATTATTTTGTGCATGATTAAAACTCTGCAAAGTTGCACGGCTCCACAGTGCCCACCTGTAATAAACAGCTCTCGCCTCCGAAACCACAAAACAGGTCTGAATTGCTGGAGCATTAGAGCTAATTGCCTGCCTACTTCAAAGGCAGAGTTCCCCCCACCCCCCCAAAAAAGGGGGGGGATGTCCCAGCAGCAGAGGCCGTGCGGGCAGGGCCAGCTCCGGAGGGAGGATCTGGGCTGTGGCTTGGACGGGGCGGGCACAGTTAGGGCCTCGGGACTGCTGTTTGCGATTAAGCTGATGGCAGTGGCTCGGCGCTGCTGACACGGGCTTTGTTCACATTCAGATTTCTCAAACCGTTGCCAGGGTCAGGCGGAGGTCAGACACCGCGGTGATGTATAGGGGAACATGTCTGGGAATTTCTCTCGCCCTTAACACACACACGCTAGGAAATGAATCGGACCCCGCGAAAAAGCGTGCGATGAGACCCAGATTGCACTGTGGTTTTTCTTGGAGCCCCTTCATAACTCTCCTCCTCTCCTCCTGACGCCCCATGTTTTATTAATGGGAGCTGCGATAGCCCTTACGATTTTATGTCCCCTCAAGATAAGGACGCCGGGACCGCGGTGACACTTCATTTCCCAGCCCTGGGGGAAAGCTTCAGTAAATCTGCCCACAGAAGCCTCGCCTCTTTTCCCCGGGACCAGAGGGAGAGTAATTGCCGTGGGCTGTCACGGGTCAGGGCCTGTCGCCGGATGTCACGTCGCCATGGGCGTGGACTTGGCAGGGACATGGCCCGATCTGGCCATGATCTCCACCACGACCCTCCCTCCCCCGAACCGGCCATCGTCCCCTCGCGGCCTGGCCTCATGCAGGGGGCGGGAGCCCGGGTCCAATCGGGGATGACCCTGGTTTGATCAGGGATGACCCTGGTTTGATCAGGGATGACCCTGGCTTGATCAGGGATGACCCTGGTTTGATCAGGTTGGTGAAAGCAGGCCAGAGCCCTACCAGCATCCGCTCTCTCCTTCCTAAAGGACCATCTCCACATGGATGTGCCTGAAAGGGTCGCTCCCCCACCCCAAACCCTCAGAGGCCTGGCTCCTCTGCAAGGAGCTCCCCACGGCTGTGGTTCAGCAGCAAAGTGCAGGCCCCGGAGAGATGGGCATGGAGGGCTGTTGAGGACACACACGGGCAGCAAGGCCCATGTCCTCAGTGGACGTACAAGAAGTTGCTTGAGATAAGACATTTGCAGAAGGAGAGCTCCCCCTGAGATCGGGGGTCTGCCCCCTCAGAGCCCAGCACCGTCCCTGCATTCTGTGTGTGCTCAGCTGCTGCGTGTGACGGCGGATATTTCATTCTGCTGTCAGCGTGTTATTAATAAAACATGGGGCGCGGAGAGGGCTGCCGCTCCCCCCTTCAATCACGCCAGCATTTGCAATGAAAATTTTATGCAGTGTGTAATTTTCAGTTAATGCCCGACGCTTAAAAACGTCCACGGCGGCGTTTTGTGTGGCTATGGAAGGGTTAATTGTAGCACGCTCCCCGCATAAACGCGCTGCTTATCAAAAGCAAATAGACACGTGTATGCATAGGCGGCGGCGACCTTTTGCCTCGCCGGGGTTAATTTATATGGTCATTAAAGATTTTATGAAATTGAGCAGCAGCAGCCCGGTGCTTCCGGTCCCAGGTTGCCTCCTCCCCGTCATGTATGTGATTCCTACCTGGACCGGGGGGTGGGGGGGAGGGAGAGATATGATTTTTTTTTTAATTTATTTTTTATTATTTTGTGCCGCCGTGAAAACAGTGTGTGCCCTGCTGCGGGGAGGTGCAGGCCTGGCTGGCTGGCATGACTCGGATTGCTGAAAATTCATTAAAACGTGCCATCAACACCGCGAGAGACAGAGGATCACAGGCCGGAGGGGAACAGTGGGCCTTTCACGGATTAGTGCCGCCCGGATCCGGCACGGAGGCTAACTGCATAAACAGATTAACCCACCGGCGGCGGCACACCTAAGATTTACCGAATAATTAAACGGGGTTGAGTTACTGTGAGGATTTCCATGTAATCTAGCTGGTGTGAACCCGCGAATGAGGTGTGGGGTGATGTGGTTGTCATAGGGAGGAATAGGCCTTCTTGTGTCCCGCGCCCTGCACAGCTCCCCCTAGAGAGAAAAACAAAGCCCAGCGCCACCCAACTTCTGAGATCTCCCTCAGATGAATTCCAGAGAATGCCTCTGGGGCCCAGGGGCTGAAGGCAGGAGTGACACCTGTCCTGTAGTTAACCCATCATGACCCCGTTCTCTCATGAGGATTTTTTTTTTCCTAGGAATTTGGTTGGCTCTGCCCTCTATCCAAGTCTGTGGAACAGGGGCATGTGGCTTAGGAGCTTCCGTATGACAGAACTGCCTCACATCCATGTTGCTGGCTTTCCTGGCTTCACCTGTGCCGGAAATGATGTCTGTTCTTTCAGTGCAGGCCCGTGTCCTCAGTGGACATACGAGAAGTTGGCTTGAGATAAGCATTTGCAACTCTGAAGTCCCTTCAGAGTCTTACCATCGTCAGGGTTTGAGGTTTTGAATAAAAGTATGTCCTTCTTTGGGAATGGGTGTCTGCGGATGATTCACAGGTGACCACGTCTGTAAATGGTCACGTAAGCATGTGAGTGTGCTTGTGATGGGGAGGCGGTTCCGATCCTGCTAACCAGTCTGCCTTCCTGAACAGAAGAACCGAGTGAGGAGCCAGAAGGACCTCTGAAGCCGACACCGGCGGCCGAAGAGGATGAGAAAGACACAAACGAGAGGGACGCTGGTGAAGGCAAAAACTCCTCCAGTAAAGAGCCCGGTAAGACGGTAGACCCTTTCCCCTTTCCTCGCCCACCCCACTCCCCAAAGTCAGCCCTGCCTCCCCCCCACCCCACGCTCGCTAACATTTCCACCACTATCCGTCGCATGTGCCTTTTGCATGTGACTTCTATCAGTAGCCTCCCATTGACCTATTTTTAATCATAACCATCTGACAGAAGATATGTGGGTAAGTTGAAGAACATTACAGGACGACCAGCAAGATTATTTTTTAATCAAATCAGTTTGTGTGCTTGTAATTTTTTAAGCGCCTTTCATTAATCTTAGCTATACTTGTGATTCCTCTGATGGCATATTAATTTTTCATAAGCGCAGGATTAGGTATCCCTTGGATTTTTTTTTTTATTCAATCACAGGCACCCTCCCCCACACCAACCATGTAACCCTGAAAATAAATGTTATTTTTCCTTTTTTTTTTTTTTTTTTTTTACAACATTCACTCAGGAATTTGCCCTTTTTAAGGGCATCTATTTGAAGCATTTCAAATGAAATCCAGTGGAAAAAAAGTTTACAGATGATTCTGCCTAAGAGAGAGGAAATATCATTGAAAAGGGATTAGACGCCGGGTAATTTTGATCTTCCAGAATAGACAAATCCCAGTAATGAAAGCTACTGTCTCTGAAAACAATCCTCCTTGTCATGACATTTACTTGTGCACAAACAGTCCCGAGGCCGGCATCTGGTGCGGATATCTACGGCTTTCCCCGTGTTTGATTTGGCAAATAGATGACTTCATCCGCGCTTTGTATGTATGAGATGGAAATCTGCGGCCGCGATGAATAAATATTGCATTGGCTACTCTTACTGCACGCCATACCGGGCTCTATTAGGCTGGGCTCATTGGAGCAGGAGAACTGCTGAAACAGGTTCAAGCCTATTAGTTTCAGGTAGTCATCTATCTTCTCCTCCAGTTCTGGTGACAGTCTCCCATAAAGAAGCTAATTTTCACTATGAAGACATTGGGTTGTGCAAAAAAAAAAAAAAAAAAAATGTATCTGCCATTTTTATGTGCGAGTCCATTTAAGCCTGAATTACCCCGCGTTGGTGATTCAGCCATCTGCATATCTCGGTTTTGCATTCCCTTCACAAACGACTCCCCTCCCCGGGCCTCCCTGCTCCCACCCCTGCCGCTTGATGCTAAATTGCTCTCAGAGGTCCAGTGCAAAAGCGCCCCTGCGATTCGGGCGGGGGATCTAGTGCTGAACATATGATTCCAGTTTGACTTAGAGAGGATGTGAGGTGGGTGCAGAGCCGAAGGCAATGTGGAAAAGGTGCCATCGCTGTGTGTTAGGGACTCAGCTCCTGGGGTTACTGACCGGGGATTGGAAGTACCTGGCAGTTGGTTAAGGTCAAGGGTAGTGCCGTCTAAACCTCATTTGAAATGGCAAGGCGGTCGGTTGGTTTGCTCTGGAGGATGGACATCCTCATCCTCAGGGCTCGCTGCTGGCCTGTTTGCTTCTGGAAGGGCAGGGGTAGTGGTGTCCCTGTCACAGTGATAGAGGAGCCTCTCACCCCACCCCAGGCCTCAGAAGAACATGTGAAACACAGATAGCACATTCCTGTTACACGGATGCTCTCTGATACTCGGGTGCGTGACGTTATGCTTGGTTTTAAATATCTAACACCCTATACTGCCAAAACCATCGGCAGTATAGGGTGTTAGATATTGGTCTATAGGGTGTTAGAGCATCGGTCTGCAGATTGAAAGGTCCCAGGTTCGATTCCTGTCAAGGGCATGAACCTTGGTTGCGGGCGCATCCCCGATGGAGGGTGTGCAGGAGGCAGCTGGTCGATGTTTCTCTCTCATCGACGTTTCTAGCTCTCTATCCCTCTCCCTTCCTCTCTGTGGAAAATCAATAAAATATATTTAAAAATATATGTCTAACACCCTATAAAGGGTGGGTTCTGGAATCTCTTGAAAAGGGCTCCAGACTTACGTTGAAGGAGGAGTCTTACCTGGAACACCACCTCAGACTCAGGCACTCCATGCCACCAGTAACATCCACTTCTTTGCATAACCAATGGGCTCATCACTCCCTAACGGCCTAAGTGACTGTCCCTTCTTAGGTGCCTGATGCCACCACTGAAACAGGATGGGAGGGAGCACAGGAGAGGACACAGAGTACTGCATAATGGGAGAGGTTTAAAACCCATTTTACCCCCACAGAAGGGCCTCTCTATGTATATCTAAAGGGGTAAAAATGAACTTTAAAACCAACTAGAAGAAATTATTGAGATGCAAATATTTAGCCTTGACACCTCCCAGACTTCAAGACAGTTCTTGCTTTTGACAACTGACAGGAACTTCTAACCAAGTTTTCTGCCTTCTATCGTAAATTGAATCTGATTAGGTGAAAAAAACCATTACATCTTCCTTGTAAATATTGCTAAAGATTGAATAACCACGTATGTATATATTGTTTTTCTTCTTATGTCAGTTATAAATGTCAAGAAATATGGACAAAATGAATCGCTGTCTTAATGTGTTAGATGGGAAAACAGCGTGTCTCCACTTTGGCACTGAATTTTTGAGACAGGAAGGAATTAACACGCGCTAGAAAGACCCTGTTTGTGTAAGCTGTTGTGTAGCGTTGCTGACATTAATCTCCAGGACTGGAGCTTTCAAAATGAGACTTGGCAATATGCAAGTTGTATTTGTTGAATATTCATTCATAATAGAAAAGCCTCCTAATGCCTCATTTATATTGTCATTTAAATCTATGCCACTTTAGATTAATTATAATCCAAATTACAGCTCTGTGCAGTACAAGAATTAATATAGAGTTTATCCAGATTAATACATTTGCATTGAAAATGTAATATGTCTCTGCCATGGCTAAGGGGACCACTTTTTAATAAGGGAGTAAACACGAGGAAAGATGGAAATTAACCTTCATTATTGCAATTAAAATTATCCTTTCATTCCAGTCTCATTAGAAAGAATACTGTACTGGTAATTATAATTTGGAATTATTTGGCGTTGAATAGCCTCTCCTGTTATATTCAAGTTTCATAGTATTCACATATTATCAAATATGTTGATTCATAAAACATTTAAAAATAACTCAGTATTTTGTTTTATTGTTTGTTATTTTCATGATTTGCTTTGAGTCCATATATGCTACTGGATTTTCCTCATTTATTATGAGTATAAACCATTTTACAACCTTCTGTATTTTAGGGATTGAAAATTATTAAGTAGGCAGCATCTGAATGGAAAGGAATTATGTCATTTTTATATTGCTATCTCATGCAAGTTACATAATCACATAGCTGACAGATAATCATTGGCTCATCTATTTGGCAGTGCTTGCTTGTAATTGGACTTCATTTCTTAGTTCAAAGATGTTAAAAGGGCATTGTTTTTTTTTTGTTTGTTTTTTTGAGGATATTGTGATGTCCTTAAAATAACACAAAATGAATTATGATACCACCTAAAAATTTCCTTTAGAGTATCAAACTGGGTTTATTTCAAATAAAGTTGCAGGCATAAACTCCGAGTAATCTTAGAACTTAAAACTCTTCTAAAATTGGCCCTTATTTAATATATTTCTAGAATAAAACAATTCAGAGAGAGAACTCAAAGTTGAATCCTTGTAATTTACCAGGAAGGCCATAGTCCCTGAGATTGCACCCCTTTGAAAAAGGAGAAAAAGCACACAATCGTGAAATGTAATTTCCATCGCTTTGCAAATAACCCAGATAACCTGCCTATCCTTTTGAGTCTGTTTCTGTCATATGGCATTCCAGCTCAGCATTCTTGCTTCTTCCTCTCAATGGCATGCATTTTCGGGGTGCCTAGATACAGCTGGGTGTGGTGGAATCTAACTTGTATTTATAACTCCTTTTTAATGTAAAATAAAATGGTCTTTACACAGCTTCTAGCTTTCCTAAGATCATGGTTTAATTAAATTAATTACACACAAAAAATATTGAAGTTGACCTATATATGGAGTGGAACACTATAGCAAACAGCCATTGCAGTAGCTATGAAATGACCATAAAACTTTCTTGATGCAGCACGAATGTCACAAAATTCAAAAGTGATTATATCATTCATGGATAGTAATAAGCATAAAAATAATATGGATTAATTAGACCAAATATGTACCCCAATTTTATAGGATAGTTTTAGTAAAATATCTCACAGCTTAAAATCAGTGTTTTTTTATCCTATATGGTACCAATATTAAAATATTCATGCTTATGATAATAAAGCCATAGCTGCTCGTTAAATAGATTTAAATGTTTCTGGAAGGTTTTTTCCTATTGCTAATACCCCACAGGGTCTGCAAGCAGCAAGAGTCATGGAAATTCTCCTTTAATTTGTTTGTGACAGTCTTTGATAACATAGGGAACTGGACAAGCTAATAATTTGGTTGTCTTATTCTACCATGTGCACAAAAGAATGATAAGGGAATATGAGAGTATTTTATTCTTAAAGGAGCATAGTCTTACTCATTAATGGGGGACTTAAAAAAAAATCTTTCATTCTCAAAGAAGAAAGCAAGGGATAAACATTCCTGATGTAAATGACAATCACTTTACACAACTTGAACTGACATTTTAAGCCCTAAATTTTATTATTTGAAAACACTATCATATTCTTTTCTTGAATATTTTAGCACTTTAAACACAACACCACAAAGTATATCCTGCTTTTTTAAAAAGCTATTTTTGATGCCATCATTAACTATGAAATAAAAATTCCTGTTTTTGACATATCTTTGGATATGAAATACTTGGGTTTTGTTAAATCGATATAATGATGTTCTTCAGTCTATATTCAAATTTAAGTTCATTCAAATACAAATGTGATCAGTTATTTTTTTTCAAATATCTAGAAGGAACTTAAATTTCTCCAAGGCATCTGTAGATATAGGGCACATGTAACAATTCAAATGAAATCTCATGTTTGTAAATCTAGATATCAGTATAATAATTATTTGAAAACATCACCAAATCTGTGCCTACCATGATTGTTATTCTGTCATCGAAAGTCTACTTTAATTTTGGTGTCCTCAAAGTCCAAAATTTAAAATGCTTACTTTTAAATTTCTTTTAAAATTATCATTTTCTGAAAAGTTTATATCATCTATACCCGGAATTGAAAAAAGAATGTAGTTTTTGGTTCTTCTTTCCTTTGTTTCCATAACATCCTTGACCTTATTGTTAAATTAAAACTGGGCTATTTCACAATAAGGTGCAATTTGTTCATTGATATGAACCGTATGTGGATTGAAAAAAGAAATCAAGATAAATCTTCATGCACAGCATACAATCAGATTACGCCCAGACTCTATATTCACGCGGGGTCTGATAGCAATCAATGGTTTAGCTTCATTGCATTTCAACATGTATTTGCACCCAGTTGTCCAGTGATAGTATCCTCACCCTGGAAATAATTTAGTTGCAAATTGACTGGAAGATGGTGAAAATTGAAAGTTAAAATTAGAAATACTCATAATAAACAGCAGAAAAAAGGTCAGATGACGCGGTGCTATGATGAGATTGGAATGGCTGGTAAATGAGGTTTTGTGTTTGTCATGAAATGTATGTGACATGCCTACCCAATGTCACTGTAATATCCAGCCTCACAGAGGAGATTATCGGGAAAATTGATGCTGGAAAGAAATTTTCTGTTAGATTGGGAAATTAGAATCACATTCTTTCTTTGATGCGTGTGAGGCTCCTATACGTGACATTGCTTAGCTAGGCAAAATTTTAAACCCCCTTCACACCGAATATTTGGATTAACCTCATAAAAACAGCCATCTTCTTGAGATGTGAACTCTAAACATTATATACATGCAGCCAAACATGTAAAGCAAAGAGTAAATCACAGAAACAGCAGGAGACATGAATAGTTAACGTTTAAGTCCTAAAAATGCTATCTTTGTTTCTGAACTATAAGGAGTTAGCTCTTCTCAGAATCTTGAAATGTTTCCCGTGATCAGGAATTTTTAGAAGAGAGATAGGCAATTAAACATCAGTGGAGAGAATTCTTTCCCAAGTTAGCCTTTGTGAATAGAAGTAGACTTGCTTTCATGTGATAAAGGCAGCCTGAGACACCAGTGAGCACGTGTTATTGATGAGTCTTCCAAGGTCACCGGGGGTTATCTAAACATGAGCCAGGAGTACATTTTAAAATATATTTATAAAGTCCACTTAGTGGGTGGACACAGAAGCGTGCACCCTGCCTGTTGAGATTAGCATCGTTTATAAGTGCTTGTCCGGTTCCTTTTGTGGTTTGGTGGGTTGACAGCCAGCGCTCGATGAAAAACATAGGATCTTTCACGTTTGTCGTCGTTGGTCTTTTGGAGTTGACACGCTCTGTTTTGTTTTGTTTTGTTTTGTTTTGTTTTGGGGGGGGTGCAATCAGGAATAATCACACCGGAGAAGGAGCTGAAGGTCGGTGTACTGGGAGCGACCCAGCCACTCCTGCTGGCGAAGGAAGAAGATGTCACAACCAAACGGTCAAAAGCTACAGAGGACAATAAATTCTGTCACGAACAGGTAAATACATGTCTCCCCCCCCCCCTTTGCTCTATAAACCTATGTTTTTATTTTAACTTAGTTATTATTAATTCCTGGTAGTGTCTGAGCCCCCAACGACTCCATGCTGTTGAAACATAGACTTTGTGATGGGTGACCGATGAGCCCTGGGTATGACCGCGGGTACTCGGAAGCCCTCGGACTAACAGTAGCACCCGCCGTGTCTGTTCGCTGTCTTCCAGTTCTATCAGTGTCCTTATTGTAACTACAATAGTAGGGACCAAAGCCGCATCCAGATGCACGTCCTGTCGCAGCACTCGGTGCAGCCTGTGGTCTGCTGTCCCCTCTGCCAGGACGTCCTCAGCAACAAGATGCACCTGCAGCTGCACCTGACGCACCTGCACAGCGTGTCCCCGGACTGCGTGGAGAAGCTGCTCATGACAGTAAGCACCCCGCGTGGTGACGTGTGTGTGACGTGATCCCTGGAGAGGCAGCGACAGCAAACCTGCACGTAACCAGGCCGTAGCGATGTGGTTCTTCATGACGCAGATCTGTCTCCCTGACCATGTCATAGAGATCACAGTCCAGGGCCCCTCTGTTGTCTCTTTTGCTAGGGAACTAAATACGATACAGGCCGAAACCGGTTTGGCTCAGTGGGTAGAACGTCGGCCTGTGGACTGAAAGGTCCCGGGTTCGATTCCGGTTAAGGGCATGTACCTTGGTTGCGGGCACATCCCCAGTAAGGGGTGTGCAAGAGGCAGCTGATCGATGATTCTCTCATCGATGTTTCCAACTCTCTGTCCCTCTCTCTTCCTCTCTGTGAAAAATCAATAAAATATATTTTTAAATATGATACAGGCATAGATTGTTCAGTAACAGTCTGGTGTTTATATCTGTAATGTTAACCAGATGAGTCACACATGGACACATTGAGTCTCAAACTTTCTCCAGTATCAGGATAAAGACATACTAGTAGACATGCAAAAACAGGTTTTTTTAAAAAAATATATATATATATTGATTTTTTACAGAGAGGAAGAAAGAGGGATAGAGAGTTAGAAACATTGATGAGAGAGAACCATCGATCAGCTGCCTCTTACACACCCCCTGGGGATGTGCCTGCAACCAAGGTACATGCCCTTGACCAGAATTGAACCTGGGACCTTTCAGTCCGCAGGCCGATGCTCTATCCACTGAGCCAAACCAGTTTCGGCCAAAAACAGTTTTTAAAAGGGGAAGCAAGAACACAGCATTGTAATGGTGTTGATCTGGAAGGGCGAGCAGTTGTCTGTAAGAGCCATGAAGTGGCTGCTTTGGCTGGAAAAACCTAAGGGAGATGCAACAGCAGATGTGGTGGCGTCTCTGAAGGTCGGGTACCTCTGACGTGAGCCCCTTTGGTCTTCACAGGTGCCTGTGCCAGATATGATGATGCCAAACAGTTTGCTGCTGCCCGCAGCTGCCTCTGAGAAGTCGGAGCGGGACACGCCGGCAGCCGGCACGGCCGAGGGGGCTGGGAGATATTCAGGTATGCCCGCCGGGGACTGTGGTCTGCACAAAACACGCTCCGAGGCTGGCGTGTGTGGTGGTGCATGAAGGCTTTTACTATCACGGAGTCAGAACAAAGGCACGGAGGAAAAATAGGTCCCAAGAGCCATAGTTGTCAATGCATATTTACTGTCTGTCTGTCTTTGGGCCCAGGGCCAGTGACCAAGAATATTCTTGGCTCTAAGTCCTGGACACGGAGGCCTGGCCCTCGGTGTCACGCCGATTGTATGCAGCAGACCTTTGGCTTCTTTTCTTCTGTACCCTGAAATTCCTCGAGGTCGGACGTGATTTGATATTCACCTTTATACCCACACTACCTCTCCCAGTGCTTGCAACACAGTAGTTGCTCAATAAATATTTCTCTCATGAATCAATGAAATAGAAACCTGTAGAGGCTCCTACTTACAGTAGTTACCAGCCTGTATCCCTTCTCCCCATAAGCGATCTGCTTGTGCTTTCTCTCCCGCACAGGTGAGAGTCCAGTGGATGACAAGAGCATGGCAGGTCTCGACGATGCCAAGGCCGGTGTGGAAATCAAGAGCGAGGAGCAGAAACCAGCCAGAGAGCCCGTGGACGCGTCCGAGTGGAGCAAACATGGCAGCAAGGACGCGAAGATCCCCGACGCCCTGGCGGACCCGCTGAGCGAGCAGCAGAAGCGGCAGCCGCTGGCGGTGTCCGACCGCCACGTGTACAAGTTCCGCTGCAACCACTGCAGCCTGGCCTTCAAGACCATGCAGAAGCTCCAGATCCATTCCCAGTACCACGCCATCCGCGCCGCCACCATGTGCAGCCTCTGCCAGCGCAGCTTCCGCACATTCCAGGCTTTAAAAAAACACCTGGAGGCCGGCCACCCCGAGCTGGGCGAGGCCGAGCTCCAGCAGCTCTACGCCTCCCTGCCCGTCAACGGGGAGCTGTGGGCCGAGGGCGAGGCCGTGGCCCCCGACGACCCCGCCCTGGAGCAGGAGATGGAGAGGGAGTACGAGGTGGACCCGGAGGGGAAGGCCAGCCCCGTGGGGAGCGACAGCAGCTCCCTGCCCGACGACATGGGCTCCGAACCAAAGCGGACCCTGCCCTTCCGGAAAGGGCCCAACTTCACCATGGAGAAGTTCCTCGACCCGTCTCGCCCGTACAAGTGCACCGTGTGCAAGGAGTCCTTCACCCAGAAGAACATCCTCCTGGTCCATTACAATTCCGTGTCGCACCTGCACAAGCTGAAGAAGGTGCTGCAGGAGGCCTCCAGCCCCGTGCCCCAGGAGCCCGGCGGCGGCGGCGGCGCCGACAACAAGCCCTACAAGTGCGGCGTCTGCAACGTGGCCTACAGCCAAAGCTCCACCCTGGAGATCCACATGCGCTCCGTGCTGCACCAGACCAAGGCCCGGGCCGCCAAGCTGGAGCCCGGCGGCGCCCACGGCCTCGGCCAGGCCGGCGTGGGCAGCCCCGGCCCGGGCATGCTCGAGTCCATGAGCTTAGCCTCCTCCGTCAGCAGCAAAGATACCCACTTAGATGCCAAAGAATTGACTAAGAAGCAGACCCCTCCGGAGCTGCTCTCGGCGCAGCCGTCCCCGCACCACCCGCCGCCGCAGTCCCCGGCGCAGCTGCAGATGCAGCTCCAGCACGAGCTGCAGCAGCAGGCCGCCTTCTTCCAGCCGCAGTTCCTCAACCCCGCCTTCCTGCCGCACTTCCCCATGACCCCCGAGGCGTTGCTCCAGTTCCAGCAGCCGCAGTTCCTCTTCCCCTTCTACATCCCCGGCGCCGCCGAGTTCAGCCTGGGCCCCGAGCTGGGCCTGCCGGGCTCGGCGGCCGCCTTCGGGATGCCCGGCATGGCCGCGGGCATGGCGGGGTCCCTGCTGGAGGACCTGAAGCAGCAGATCCAGACGCAGCACCACGTGGGCCAGACCCAGCTGCAGCTCCTGCAGCAGCAGGCCCAACAGTACCAGCCCCCGCTGCCGGCTCAGAAGCCCGCCGCGCAGCAGCCTCTGCAGCCGCCGGCCAGCAAGCTCCTGAAGCCGGACCAGGCCGCCACCCTGGCCGGGGGGGCCGAGGGCCCGGCCACCAAGGACGGCCCGGCTTACAAGGAGGCCGAAGACGGTGCAGACAAGCAAGACAAACCAAAGCAAGACTTCGCCGGGGACGGGGAGGGGCCCAAAGAAGGCAGAGACGCCAAGAAGCCCAAGTCCCTGGAGCCACCCATCCCGCCGCCCCGGATCGCCTCGGGGGCCCGGGGCAACGCGGCCAAGGCCCTGCTAGAGAACTTCGGCTTCGAGCTGGTCATCCAGTACAACGAGAACCGGCAGAAGGCGCAGAAGAAGGGCCGGGGCGGCGGCGGTGGCGGCGGCGACGGGGACGGCTCTGGCGCGGACAAGCTGGAGTGCGGCACCTGCGGCAAGCTCTTCTCCAACGTGCTCATCCTCAAGAGCCACCAGGAGCACGTGCACGGCCAGTTCTTCCCCCGCGGCGCCCTCGAGAGCTTCGCCCGCCAGTACCGGGAGGCCTACGACAAGCTCTACCCCATCGCGCCGCCCTCGCCCGAGACCCCGCCGCCTCCCCCTCCTCCTCCGCCGCCCCCGCCTGCCCCGCTGCCCCCGGGGGGGCCCCCTCAGCCGTCCCCTCTGGGGTCCGTGAAAATGCCCAGCTCCGGGGTGTCCGCTCCCCTGCAGGCCCCGCCCCCGACGCCCCCTCCACCCCCGCCGCCCCCTCCGCCTCCCCCGCCGCCTCCCCCTCCTCCGCCGCCCCCCTCGGCGGCGCCCCCGCCGCAGGTGCAGCTGCCCGTGTCCCTGGACCTGCCCCTCTTCCCGTCCATCCTGATGCAGCCCGTGCAGCACCCGGCGGCCGCGCTGCCCCCGCCCCTGGCCCTGCAGCTGCCCCCGCCCCAGCTGGACGCGCTGTCCGCCGCCGACCTGGCGCAGCTGTGCCAGCAGCAGCTCGGCCTGGACGCCGGCGGCTTCCTGCGCCACTCGGCGCAGTTCAAGCGGCCTCGGACCCGCATCACCGACGACCAGCTCAAGGTCCTGCGGGCCTACTTCGACATCAACAACTCGCCGGGCGAGGAGCAGGTGCAGGAGATGGCCGAGAAGTCGGGCCTGTCGCAGAAGGTCATCAAGCACTGGTTCCGCAACACGCTCTTCAAGGAGCGCCAGCGCAACAAGGACTCGCCCTACAACTTCAGCAACCCGCCCGTCACGGCGCTGGAGGAGCTGCGCCTGGAGCCCCCGCCGCCCTCGCCGCTGGAGCCCCCCTACAGCAAGGGGGACCCCGCCTTCAGCAAGCGCTCCTCCCGCACGCGCTTCACCGACTACCAGCTGCGCGTCCTGCAGGACTTCTTCGACACCAACGCCTACCCCAAGGACGACGAGATCGAGCAGCTCTCGGCCGTCCTCAACCTGCCCACGCGCGTCATCGTGGTGTGGTTCCAGAACGCGCGGCAGAAGGCGCGCAAGAGCTTCGAGAACCAGGCGGAGGCGCGGGAGGGCGGCGGCGGCGGGGACAAGCGCGAGCTGACGGCCGAGCGCTACGTGCGCACGGGCGGCGGGCAGTACCAGTGCAAGAAGTGCGCCGCCGCCTTCGCGCGCATCTTCGACCTCATCACGCACCAGAAGCGGCAGTGCTACAAGGACGAGGACGACGAAGCCGCCGGGCAGGACGAGAGCCAGACCGAGGACTCCATGGACGCCACCGACCAGCTGGTGTTCAGGCACTGCGCCTCCTCCTCCTCCTCCTCCGGCCAAGGGGACGCGGCCAGAGGCGCCACCACGGCCCCCGCAGCGGGCAGCTCCGGCTCCGGCACGAGCACCCCTCTGATGCCATCGCCTAAGCCCGAGCCCCCCGAGAAGACCTCCCCCAAGCCTGAGTACCCCGCAGAGAAGCCAAAGCAGAGCGAGCCCTCCCCCACTGCGCAAGGCCCCAAGCCGGCCCCATCTTCGGTGTCCACCTCCTCCTCGGACCCACCGCAGGCTTCAGGGGCCCAGGCCCAGCCCAAGCTGTCCATGGGGAGGCCCCCCTCGGCCTCGCAGACGCCGGTGCCCGTGCCGTCCAGCCCCCTGCCGCTGCCCCTGGCGCCCCTGCAGAACAGCCTACCTCCGCCGCAGCTGCTCCAGTACCAGTGCGACCAGTGTGCCGTGGCCTTCGCCAGCCCCGAGCTCTGGCAGGAGCACCAGCACATGCACTTCCTGGCCGCCCAGAACCAGTTCCTGCACTCGCCCTTCCTGGAGAGGCCGCTGGACATGCCCTACATGATCTTCGACCCCAACAGCCCCCTGATGGCCACCGGGCAGCTGCTGGGCGGGTCCCTGGCCCCGATGGCACCCCAGGGGGGCGCCTCCCACCCGGCGGGCCCCGCTGCTGCTGCCGTGGCGGCCTCGCTGAAGCGGAAGCTGGAGGACAAGGAGGACCCGGCCGCCTGCGGCAGCGAGAAGGACGCGGGGGGCGCTGGCGGCGAGGACCAGCACCGCGACAAGCGCCTGCGCACCACCATCACGCCCGAGCAGCTGGAGGTGCTCTACGACAAGTACCTGCTGGACTCGAACCCCACCCGCAAGATGCTGGACCACATCGCGCGCGAGGTGGGCCTCAAGAAGCGCGTGGTGCAGGTCTGGTTCCAGAACACGCGCGCCCGCGAGCGCAAGGGCCAGTTCCGCGCCGTGGGCCCCGCCGCGCAGTCCCACCGGCGCTGCCCCTTCTGCCGCGCGCTCTTCAAGGCCAAGTCCGCGCTGGAGAGCCACGTCCGCTCCCGCCACTGGAGCGAGGGCAAGCCGGCGGGCTACAGCCTGCCCCCCAGCCCGCTGCTGGCCGCGGAGGACGGCGGCGAGAGCCCCCAGAAATACATCTACTTCGACTACCCGCCGCTGCCGCTGGCCAAGGGGGACCCGTCGAGTGAGAACGAGCTGGCGTCCACCGCATCCACGCCCGCGAGCAAGACGGCCGAGCTGTCCCCCAAGCGCCTGCTCAGCCCCTCGTCGTCCTCCTTCAAGGCCGAGGGCCCCGAGGATGGGGAGCCCCTGGGCGCCCCTCCCGCCGCCGCCGAGGCCGCCTACGACCCGAGCAAAGCGGCCGCGGACTTGGACGAGACGTCGTCCGTGACCACAGCCCTCAGCGACGCGTCCACGGGCGACGAGGCCGGCGCCGAGGTGGAGAGCACCCTGGGGGGCTCCGGGGACGGGGGGAAGCCGGCCCTGTCCCCCAAAGAGCCCAGAGCCCTCGATGCATTGCCAAAAACCGCTGCCGCCACGCCCCCCGCGGAGGCATGCGAGGAGGAGAAGTTCCTCTTCGCCCTCACCAGCCCCTCCTCCGTGCACTTCGGCGACAAGGACATGGGCGACCACGACCAAAGCTTCTACATCACCGACGACCCCGATGACGCCGCCGACCGCAGCGAGACATCCAGCATCGCCGACCCGAGCTCGCCGAACCCCTTCGGGTCCGGGTCCGGGTCCGGCGGCAGCAACCCTTTCAAGTCCAAAAGCAGCAGCAGCAGCAATGACCACCACCGGCCGGGCCACAAGCGGTTCCGGACTCAGATGAGCAACCTGCAGCTCAAGGTGCTCAAGGCGTGCTTCGGGGACTACCGCACGCCCACCATGCAGGAGTGCGAGCTGCTGGGCAGCGAGATCGGCCTGCCCAAGCGCGTGGTGCAGGTGTGGTTCCAGAACGCGCGCGCCAAGGAGAAGAAGTTCAAGGTCAACATCGGGAAGCCGTTCCCGGTCACCCAGGGCGGCGGCGAGGGCGCCAAGCCCGAGTGCTCGCTGTGCGCCGTCAAGTACTCGGCCCGCCTGTCCATCCGGGACCACATCTTCTCCAAACAGCACATCGCCAAGGTGAGGGAGTCGGTGGGCAGCCAGCTGGACCGGGAGAAGGACTACCTGGCGCCCACCACCGTGCGGCAGCTCATGGCGCAGCAGGAGCTCGACCGCATCAAGAAAGCGTCGGACGTGCTGGGCCTGGCGGTGCAGCAGCCCGGCGTGGTGGACAGCGGCCCGCTCCACGGCATCGGCCTCCCCGCGGCCTACCCCGGCCTCCCCGGGCTCCCGCCGGTCCTCCTCCCCGGGATGAACGGGCCGTCCTCCCTGCCCGGGTACCCACAGAACTCAAACAGTAAGTCACTCCCGTCCGATCCATCAGTGATGGTAGGCAGCCCATCCCTTCCCAGGTAACTAGGAACAGGGTACACTGGATTCTCTTCATGGCGGGGAGCAAAGCCACTACATAATGTTCAATGTGTATTTTGAAATGGGCTAAAAATGAACCGCCAGGAAGCAAGTCTGCCTGGGTGTATGCAGAAAAATAAAGACTAGCGAGGTCCTAGCTAGTCTTAGAAACCTATTCAGTATTTATATCATTATATCTTTATGTCTTAGAGATGTTCCTTTTATAGAATCATCTCAATATTGTTTTCAGATGGCATTTAAGCACAAACATGGGGCATGTGGTTTGGTGAACATGTGGTTTAGTGAACATACTAAGAAAGTGAAGCATTCACTAATACATTGTTAAAAGTATATATTTTATTGTTTTTTTGTTGTTTTGTTGTTTGTTTTTACAGAGAGGAAGGGAGAGGGATAAAGAGCTAGAAACATTGATGAGAGAGAAACATCGACCAGCTGCCTCCTGCACACCCCCCACCAGGGATGTGCCCGAAACCAATGTGTATGCTCTTGACTGGAATCGAACCTGGGACCCTTCAGTCCGCAGGCAAAAGCTGTATCCACTGAACCAAACTGATTTCGGCCATTCACTAATATATTTATGGATATCTTAATTTATATTCTTTCCAAAGGAGGCTTTTTTTTTATTTGTTTTTTTGTTTTCTCCCACTCACATGCCTGGAAGTTCAAAAGTTAAGAGCCTCTAGCTGCAGGAATTCACCCACAATACACCTACCAGTCAATAAAGCATATATTTAGTTTAACTATTAACAATACGACTTCTGGGACAATTTTTAATTTGATTGTAAAGAATTTTGGACAGTAAGATTTTTATTTTTGTAGCAGCCATTGTTGCTTATTTAAATGAATGTGCAACCTTAGAAGTATATTAATATTACCATTCCCTCCTACCCCTCGCTCCACCCAGCCATATAAATAAGTCAAACAAAATGATAAAACTTTCTGAGGGAACCCCAGAAGATGGATTCGATTCGGTGCTCATCAAGAATAATGCAATTTGTGCAGGTTCAGAACAGTTCATGAATGAGTACAGGTATGCGGTTCTATTAGGTTACAACAGTTGAATGCAGTGAGCTGGGCAAGGACTTAGCCAAACATATAACAAATGTTAAATGTGTTATATGTCCTATAAAAGTTATACATTATGCAAAATAGAAAAAATGGTTCTTATAATTACTTCTTTCTTATAATTACTTCTTTAAAGTAAGTTTTATTTTTCAAATTAACAGTGATATATATATATATATATTTTTCAAATTAACAGTGATATATATATATATATATATATATATATATATATATATTCTTTTTGAAAGGGGATTTTGACACTATAGGCCTATCTAGAATTAATTACATATTTCTAGAAAGTTTCCAAAACACATTGGATAGCTTTATTATTTACACAAATTGAACTTTTACATAAATGTCAAACTTTTCAATCTCATCCTCTTTTTTTTTTTTTTAAATCAAATCTTTAATGTTGCAAGTATTACATATGTTCCCTTATTTCCTCCCATTGACTCCTTATAGCCCTCCTCCCTCACCCCTACCCCAGGCCTCAACCACCCTATTGTTTGTGTCCAGGGATTATACATATATGCACACAAGTTCTTTGGTTGATCTCTTCCCACCCACTCACCCTCCCCTGCCTTCCCTCTGAGGTTTGACAGTCTGTTCCATGTTTCTGTGTCTCTGGATTTATTTTGCTCTTGAGATTCCACATATGCGTGAGGTCATGTGATACTTGTCTTTCTCTGATTGGCTTATTTCACTTAACATAATACTCTCCAGGTCCCTCCAGGCTCTCAAAGGGTAAGAGATCCTTTTTTCTTTCTTTTTTTTTTTTTTTACTAGTACACCATGGAATACCATGCAGCAGTAAATGTACCACAGCTTTTTAATCCTCTCAATTGCTGACGGACACTTGGGCTGTTTCCATATCTTAGCTATTGTAAATTGTGCTGCTATGAACATGGAGGTGCATACATTTTTTTGTGTGTGTGTTTTCATATTTAATTTTTTGAGGAAATTCCATACTGTTTTTCCATAATGGCTGCACCAGTCTGCATTCCCACCAGCAGTGTACTAGGGTTCCCTTGTCTCCACATCATTGCCAGCACTTGTCATTTGTTGATGGAAACCATTCTGACAGATGAGGGGTGATACCCCATTGTCACTTTAATTCACATGTCTTGGATGATCAGTGATTTTAAACATTTTTCTTTTCATATGTCTCTTGGCCATCTGTATGTCCACTTTGGAGAAGAGTCTATTCAAGTTCTTTGCCCATTTTTCAATTGGCTTGTTTTCCTTTTGTTGTGTGAGTTCCTAGTTTGGATATTAACCCTTTATCAGATGTATCATTGCCTAATACACTGAGTGGCCAGATTATTATGATCTCTGAATGCATAATAATCTGGCCACTCAGTGTGTGTATATATGTTAGAGGCTCCCCCCATGAATTCATGCATGGGGAGGGGGGAGCGGTCTGGCCAGCCTGGCCAGGGACTGTTGGCTAGCCTGCCTACTGGTTGAATTCCTGGTTTGGGGGACAATTTGCATATTAGCCTTTTATTATATAAGATATACACTGAGTGGCCAGATTATTATGTGTTCAGAGGACATAATAATCTGGCCACTCAGTGTAGTTCTACCACACAGTGAACTTTCTTTTCATTTTGTTGATGGTTTTTGCTGGGCCAAACCTTTTACTTTGATGCAGTCCCATTTGTTTTCTCCCTAGTTTCCTTTGCCCTAGGACAATGATCAGCAAACCATGGCTCGTGAGCCACATGCGGCTCTTTGGCCCCTTGAGTGTGGCTCTTCCACAAAATACCACATATCCTAATTAAGTTAATAACAATGTACCTACCTATTAATATATAGTTTAAGTATAAAAAATTTGGCTCTCAAAAGAAATTTCAATTGTACTGTTGATACTTGGCTCTGTTGACTAATGAGTTTGCTGACCACTGTCCTAGGGCAGTGGTGGGCAAACTCATTAGTTAACAGAGCCAAATATCAACAGTACAGCGATTGAAATTTCTTTTGAGAGCCAAATTTTTTAAATTTAAAATTCTTCTAATGCCACTTCTTCAAAATAGACTCGCCCAGGCCATGGTATTTTGTGGAAGAGCCACACTCAAGGGGCCAAAGAGCCTACATGTGGCTCACGAGCCAGTTTGCCAACTTAGTAGATGTATCTGCAAACATATTGCTATTAGAGATGCCTGAGGTTTTGCTGCCTATGATTTATTCTAAGATAAAGTTTCACTTGTTTACATTTAAGTCTTTTATCCATTTTGGCTTTATTTTTGTTTATGGCGTAAGTTGGTGGTCTAGCTTCATTTTTTTGCATGTATTTGTCCAATTTATTGAAGATTGTATTGACCCCATTGTATGCCTTGCCTCCTTTATCAAATATTCATTGAGCATAATGGTTTGGGTTGATTTCTGGGGTCTCTGTCCAGTTCCATTGATCTATATGTCTGCTCTTGTGCCAGTACCAGGCTGTTTTGATTATAATGGCTTTGTAGTATAATTTGATATCTGGTATTGTGATCCCTCCAACTTTGTTTTTCTTTTTCTTTGTCAAGATTGTTGTGGCTATTCTGGGGGGTCTTTTTTGGTTCCATATAAATTTTTGGAGTATTCTAGGTCTGTGAAATATTCCATTGGCGTTTTAATAAGGTTTGCATTGAGTTTGTAGGTTGCTATGGGTAGTATAGACGTTTTAATGTTAATTCTACCAATCCAGAAACACTTATTTATATCTTCTTCTCTTTTTATAGCGTCCTGTTGTTTTCCAAGTATAGGTCTTTTACCTCCTTGGTTAAGTTTATTCATAGGTATCTTAATGTTTTTGTTGCTATGGTAAATGAGATTGTTTAATTTCTGTTTCTGAGAATTCATTGTTAATGTATAAAAATGCCATCGATTTCTGGGTGCTAATTTTGTATCCTGCTACATTGCCAAACTGCTTTATTTAAAAATATAGTAATTTTTTTGGTGGAGTTAGGATTTTCCATGTACAATAACATGTCATCTGCGAATAATGAGTATTACTTCCTTCTTTCCAATTTGGATACCTTTTATGTTTTCTCATCTGATCGCTGTGGCAAGGATTTCCAGTGCTGTGGCGAACAGGAGTGGTAAAAGTGAACATCCCTATCTTGTTCCTGTTCTTAGGGGACGTGATTTTAGTTTTTGTCCGTTGAGTATGATGTTCGCTGTAGGTTTGTCATATATGGCCTTTATTATGTTGAGGTATGATCCCTCCATTCCACTTTGCCAAGAGTTTTTATCAAAAATGGGTGTTGGATTTTTTGAATGCCTTTTCTGCGTCTGTGAACATGATCATCTGATTTTTGTTTTTCAATTTGTTTATTTAACATACCACATTCACTTATTTGCGAATATTGTACCAGCCTTGAATCCCTGAGATAAATCCCACTTGGTCATAGTGTATGATCTTTTTAATATGTTGCTGGATCTGATTTGCTAATATTTTGTTGAGGATTTTAACATCTTATGTTCATCAGGGATATTGGCCTGTAATTCTCTTTCTTTGTAATGTCTACCTGGTTTTAGAATTAGGATAATCCTGGCCTCATTAAGAGAGATTGGAAGTATTCCTTTCTCTTGGGATTTTATTTTATTTTATTTTATTTTATTTTATTTTATTTTATTTTGGGGGGGGGGGATCGTTTCAGGAGGATAGATGTTAGTTCTTCTTTGGTAAAACTCCCCCATGGAGCCATCCTCATCTTTTCTTATAAAAACAAAATAATGCCCTATGATCTTAGGAGCTATTCCTATTTTAACTTTTACCGTGGGAAACGGTAAACCAGGGGTACCACGTGGCCTATTGACTGCGGCCAGCTCACTGGCTGCCTGTTCTCAGTAACCTGCTGGCTGTAGGGAAGCGGG